GCCACCCCCTCAATTAGGGACCACCTTGACCCCATCATCCACATCCCATGGTGACCCCTGTGGTGACCCATGTGGTGACCCATGTGGTGACATGTCCCCGGGTGACCCATGTGGTGACACATCCCAGGGTGACCCCAGCAGTGACCCCACCCCTGGTGGCACCCCCAGGTTACCTCTCCTTGGCCGCCACCTCGATTTGGGCCCACCTTGACCCCTCCATCCACATCCCATGGTGACATCCCCATGGTGACCCCGGAGGTCACCCATGTGGTGACCCGTCCCATGGTGACCCCAATGGTGACACCCCCCCTCGGTGACACCCCCAGGTGACCTCACCTGAGCAGGTGAGCGCGGCGCTGGGCGTGGCCCAGAAGAAGTTTGGCCGCCTGGACCTGGCCGTGAACTGCGCCGGCATCGGCATCGCCGTCAAGACCTACAACAGCAAGAAGGACAAAGTGCACGACCTGGAGGACTTCCAGAGGGTCATCAACGTCAGTGGGGGCTGGCTGGGGTGGGATGGGGGGTCTGGGTGGGGATGGGGGTCCTTGGGTGGTGGGATGGGGGGTCTGGGGTCAGTGGGGTGGGTGAGGGGGGTCTGGGGTCAATGGGTGGATGACCTGGTCATTGGTGTGGATGACCATATCAATGGCGTGGATGATGTGATCAATGGGTGGATGACGTGATCAATGGATGGATGATCAATGGGTGGATGATCAATGGGTGGATGATCAATGGGTGGATGACCTGGTCAATGGGTGGATCACCTGGTCAATGTGTGGATGATCAATGGTGGATGACCTCATCAGTGGTGTGGATGATCAATGGTGGATGACCTCATCAATGGATGGATGATCAATGGGTGGATGACCTGGTCAATGGATGGATCACCTGGTCAGTGGCATGGATGACCTGGTCAATGACGGAGGTCTCTGGTCAGTGGTGTGGATGATCTGGTCAATGAGTGGATGACCTGGTCAGTGGGTGGATGATCAATGGCGTGGATGACCTGGTCAATGAGGGGATGACCTGGTCAGTGGTGTGGATGACCTGGTCAGTGAGAGAATGACCTGGTCAGTGGGTGGGATGATCAATGGTGTGGATGACCTGGTCAGTGGCGTGAATGACTTGGTCAGTGGCATGGATGACCTGGTCAATGGGTAGATGACCTGGTCAGTGGGTGAATGACCTCATCAATGGCATGGATGACCTGGTCAATGGGTAAATGACCTGGTCAGTGAGGGGATGGTCAATGGGTGGGTGACCTGGTCAGTGGCATGGATGATCAATGGTGTCGATGACCTGGTCAATGAGTAGATGACCTGATCACTGGTGTGGATGACCTGGTCAGTGGTGGGGTGACCTGGTCAGTGAGGGGATGACCTGGTCAATGGATGAATGATCAATGCATGGATGACCTGGTCAATGGGTGAATGACCTGAATGGTGTGGATGACCTATGGGTGAATGACCTCATCAATGGCATGGATGATCAATGGGTGGATGATCAATGGGTGGATGACCTGATCGATGAGGGAGGTCTCTGGTCAGTGGGGTGGATGACCCGGTCAGTGACAAGATGGCCTGGTCAGTAGGTGGATGACCTGGTCAGGCTGTGGATGACCTGATCAATGGGTGGATGACCTCATCAATGGATGGATGACCTCATCAATGGGTGCATGATCAATGGCGTGGATGACCTGGTCAGTGGGATGGATGACATGGTCAAAGGTGTGGATTACCTGGTCAATGGAGGGATGACCTGGTCAATGGCGTGGATGACCAATGGGTGGATGACCTCATCAATGGCTGGATGACCTCATCAATGCCTTGGCCCTGATCAATGGCTTGGCCCTCATCAATGCCATACCTGTAGATGTGTGACCTCGGGGCGTTCCCACCCCAACACCCGGAGCTGTGTGGGGTCACCACCAGGGTTTGGTGCCCCCCTCCCCAAACCCCCCTCCCCAAATGCAGGTGAACCTGGTGGGCACCTTCAACGTGATCCGCCTGAGCGCGCAGCTCATGAGCCACAACAAGCCGGACGCCGACGGCCACCGCGGCCTCGTGGTCAACACGGCCAGCGTGGCCGCCTTCGAGGGACAGGTGAGCGGCCCCGGGGGCCACCGGGGGGGTCAGGGAACCTTCCAGAAACACCACCACCACCTATGGAATAATTATATAATAAAAATAAACCCACACTACTGGAATAATTCCAATATTGCGGACGGGACGTGCCTGAGCTCGTAGGGCCCTTGGTGCTTGACCAAATTTGGCAAATGTGGTGATTTCACCCCAAAAACGCTTTTGGCCAGCTGGATTTGTGGTGATTTCACCTCAAAAATGCTTTTGGGCTGGTGGATGTGTGGTGTTAAACTGTAATATATTAAAGTTTTAGTGATTGGAGAAGAGTAACATGAATATGGTAGTATTTATATTATGTTATATTATATTACGTTATGTTATATTATATTATATTATATTATATTATATTATATTATATTATGTTATATTGTATTACATTACATTACATTACATTATGATGTTATATTATATTATATTACATTATATTACATTATATTACTTTATATTGTGCTATATACAATAATTATATATAATATAATTTAATTAATATAATTACACTAATAATTATATAATTAAACAAATATTATTTATGTAATAATATAACATAATATAAATAATAATATATAACATCTATATTATAATACATTACATTTTATATATAATAAATCTAATATATATTAGATATAATATATATAGTGTGTATAATACTACAACATTTATATAATAATTATCTAATATTTAATTATATAATTGAATAAATATAATTGTTACATAATGATGTAATTACATGATATGATATTATGTAATATGCATTATATCACTATATATTATATTATATAGCATTAACATAACATAATGTAACAATATATATAATACTTACATAATTATATAATAATTAATTATATAATAGTTTGTAATGTAACATAACACAACACAACACAACATAATATAATATAATATAATATAATATAATATAATAACATAACATAACATAATGCAACTATATGAAAAAAATATATTATCATATATATTGTGTGTGTGTATATATATATATAAATATAAAAAATATAAAAATATAAATAATATAAAAAATATTAAAAATATAAAAAATTATTATTTACATATATATATATAAACTGACACCCCTGAGCAGGAAATTATCAGGGGGAAGGATCTAAAAATAAAAAATTAAACTCTACAATCCCAATTTCTCTCCCCACAGGTCGGCCAAGCCGCCTACTCGGCCTCCAAGGGCGGCATCGTGGGCATGACCCTGCCCATCGCCCGCGACCTGGCACCGCTGGGCATCCGCGTGGTCACCATCGCGCCAGGTGGGGACACCTAATAAAATAAAATGAAATGAAATGAAATGAAATGAAATAAAATAAAGCAAAATAAAATAAAATAAAGTAAAATAAAATGAAATAAAATAAAATAGAGTAAAATGAAATGAAGTAAAATAAAATGAAGTAAAATAATATAAAAAATTAATAAAATAAAATAAAAATAAATAAAATATCCATTTTCCCCCTTTCCAGGGCTGTTCTCCACCCCTCTCCTGGCCGGGCTCCCGGAGAAGGTCCGTCGCTTCCTGGGCCAGCAGGTGCCGTTCCCGTCGCGCCTCGGGGACCCGGCCGAGTTCGCGCACCTGGTGCAGGCCCTGGCCGAGAACCCCATGGTCAACGGCGAGGTGGTGAGGCTGGACGGGGCCCTCAGGATGCAGCCCTGAGCCCCGAAACCCGGGGAACCCCAAAAATTCCTCAGGGGAACCCCAGAAATTCCTCAGGGGAACCCCAAAAATCAGGGGAACCTCAGAAATCTGGTGGGAGAGGTGACGGAAAGGACGCTGCGAGGATCGACGGGGACACTCCAACGCTGTGGGGACATTTTGTCATGAGGGGACACGACCTCCTTTGAGTGGACACAACCCCCCCAAAAGTGGGGACACCAAGGATTTGGGGACATCAAGGATTTGGGGACACCAAGGAAATGGGGACACCTGAGGGGATTTGGGGACACCAATGAAATGAAGACACCCAAGGATTTGGGGACGCTTTGTTCTGAAGGTCCTGAGGGGACACAACCCCCCCACAAAAGTGGGGACACCAAGGATCTGAGGACACTTAAGGATTTGGAGACTCCCAAGGATTTGGGGACACTCAAAGATTTGGGGACACCGAGGATTTGGGGACACCAAGGAAATGGGGACACCTGAGGGGATTTGGGGACACCAAGGAAATGGGGACACCCAAGGATTTGGGGGACACTGTGGGGACATTTTGTCCTGAGGGTCCTGAGGGGACATGAACCCCCCTGAGTGGACACTGACTGGACACAACCCCCCCCAAAAGTGGGGACACCAAGGATTTGGGGACACCTGACGGGATTGGGACATTCAGGATTTGGGGACACCAAGGAAATGGGAACTCCTGAGGGGATTTTGGGACACCAAGGATTCGGGGGCACCTGAGGGGATTTGGGGACACTAATGAAATGAAGGCACCCAAGGATTTGGGGACGCTTTGTTCTGAAGGTCCTGAGGGGACACAAACCCCCCAAAAGTGGGGACACCAAGGATTTGGGGACACTCGAGGATTTGGGGACACCTGAGGGGATTTGGGGACACTTAAGGAAATGGGGACATCCAAGGATTAGGGGACACTGTGTCCTGAGAGTCCTGAGGGGACAGGACCCCACCTGAGTGGACACTGAGTGGACACAACCTCCCCCCCAAAAGTGGGGACACCAAGAACTTGGGGACACCCAAGGATTTGGGGACACTCAAAAATTTGGAGACCCCCAAGGATTTGGGGACATCAAGGAGGATTTGGGGATACCCAAGGAGGATTTGGGGACAAACCCCAGGATTGTGGCCATGAGGACGCTCAAACCCCTGCTCAGGTTTTTGGGGGGGTCCATCCTGAGCCCCCCCCTCAATTTGGGGACTCCCCTCAGCCCCTCCCCCACATCAATAAAGCGCGTTCGCCCACGCGGCCTCCGAGCTCTGCGATGCCCCGCCTCCTTTCTCTCCGTATTGGCTCTTTCTGCTGTCAGTCATAACACAAACAGATGTGATTGGTCGGTGCTGGAGTGGGCGGGGAGAATCTACCACGCGCAGAACTCAACGCTGATTTGCCGGGGGCGGGACTTGTCGCATCTCTCCGCTCGCTGATTGGCTGAAACGCCTGTCAATACGGCGGAATGACGGGTAGGCGGGCTCGGCGCTGATTGGTCAGAGAGGAACTTCCGGCGGAGGCTACTCGTGAGGGGACCGGGACCGGCGGCGGCGCCGGGAGCAGAACCGGGAACGGGAAACGCGACCGGGATCGGGAAACCGCAGCCATGAACATCCGGAACGCGCGGGTGGGCGGCCCGGGACGGGCGGGGAGGCTCGGACAGGGACAACCGGGCACCGGGGAGGGATCTGCCGGTGATACCAGGCCATGGCGGGAGGCGTGAGGGGAACACCGGGACTGCGAAGCGGTGCCGGGCTCTGAGGGGATCCCGGTACCGTCTGGGCGCTCTGAGGTGGGTCCGTGCTTGAAGCAGGCTCTGAGGGCCCCTCCCGGTATTGGGGAGCACCGGGGCCGGTTCTGGGCTGACTCCCCCGCTTCTTCTCCGGTTGTTCCCGGTAGCCCGAGGACCTGATGAACATGCAGCACTGCAACCTGCTCTGCCTGCCCGAGAACTACCAGATGAAATATTATTTCTACCACGGCCTCTCGTGGCCTCAGGTGTGGCTCTGGGTCCGCCCCGGTACCCCGGGATTACCGGGAATACCAGATTTAACCCTTCCTCTCCCGGATTTAACCCTTCCCGGTGCCTCTCGGTCTCCTCTAGAACACCTGGATCCTGAATTTCACACCTGGGGCCCTGAATTTTCACCCCTGGATCCTCTTCCCAGCTCACCTGGATCCCCTCAGGGTCACCTGAAACCCCCCCCCCCAGGGTCACCTGGACACCCTCAGGACCCCCAGGAACCCCCCCAGGACCCCCTGGAACCCCTCCAGGGTCACCTGGACACCCTCAGGACCCCCAGGAAGCCCCCCAGGTCCCCCTGGATCCCCTTCCCCATGCATACCCGACCCCTCAGGGTCACCTGGACACCCCCAGGACCCCCAGGAACCCCCCCCAGGACCCCCTGGAACCCCTCAGAATCACCTGGACACCCCCAGGGACCCCCTCATCCCCTCCCCCAGACCTACCTGGCTCCCCCAGGCACACCTGGAACCCCTCAGAACCCCCTGAAATCCCCTCAGGACCCCCTGGAACCTCTCAGGGTCACCTGAACCCCCCAGGACCCCCAGGAATCTCCCCAGGGTCACCTGGACCCCCTCAGGACCACCTGGAACCCCTCAGAATCACCTGGACCCTCCAGGACCCCTTGGATCCCCTCCTCCATTCATACCTGGCCCCCCCCAAGGTCACCTGGACCCCCTCAGGGACCCCCTGGAATCATCCCCCCATTGTCACCCGTGTCACCTGTCCCATTGTCACCTGTGCCATTGTCACCCGTGTCACCTGTCCCACTGTCAGCTGTCCCCATTGTCCCCTGTCCCCTGTCCCAGCTGTCGTACATCGCCGAGGACGAGAACGGGAAGATCGTCGGATACGTCCTGGCCAAGATGTGAGTGTGGGACCCCCCCCTCCAAATGTGGGACCCCCCAAATGTGGGACCCCCACCCCAATTCCTGCCCCTTTCGGGGTCCCCAGGTGGATCAGAGGGTCCCCAGGTGGATTTGGGGGAGTTTGGGGGATCCCTAGGGGCATTTGGGGGTCCCCAGGTGGATTTGGTGGGGTTTGGGGGTCCCCGGGGGGATTTGGGGGGTCCCCGGGGGGTTTGGGGGATTTGGGGGTCCTCAGGTGGATTTGGGGGGTCCTCGGGGGGATTTGGGGGGTCCCCAGGTGGATTTGGGGGGATTTGGGGGGGTCCCCAGGTGGATTTGGGGGGTCCCCAGGTGGATTTGGGGGGATTTGGGGGGTCCCCAGGTGGATTTGGGGGGTCCCCAGGTGGATTTGGGGGGGGTCTCACCGCTGTGACCTCCCCATGTTCCCATAGGGAGGAGGACCCCGATGATGTCCCCCATGGTCACATCACGTCCCTGGTGAGATGGGGAGGGGTCCTTGAGGGGTTTTGGGGGGTTCCTTGAGGGGTCTTGTGGGGTTTTTGGGGTTCCTGTGGGTGTTTTTGGGGTCCCCTGGTGGTTTTTGGGGTTTCCCATCCCATTTTTGGGTTATATTTGGGGTGTCCCACCCCGTTTTTGGGTTCCTGTGGGGGTTTTGGCGTTCTCTGGGGTTTTTGGGGTTTCCCATCCCATTTTTGGGGTGTCTCACCCCATTTTTGGGTTCTGTGGGGTTTTTGGGGTCTCCCATGCCATTTTTGAGGATTTTTGGGGTGTCCTATTCTGTTTTAAGGGGTTTTGGGTTCCCCTGGTTATTTTTGGGGTGTCTCACCCCATTTTTGAGGCGCCACACCCCATTTTTGGGTTCTATGGGGTTTTTGGGGTCTCTCACCCCGTTTTTGGGTTATTTTTGGGGTGTCCCATCCCATTTTTGGGGTGTCTCACCCCATTTTTGGGGTTTCCCACCCCGTTTTTGGGGGGTTGCACCCCGTTTTTGGGGTGTCTCGCCCCATGTTTGGGGTGTCACACCCCGTTTTTGGGTTCCTATGGGGCTTTTGGGTTTCTATGGGGGTTTTGGGGTGTCTCACCCCATTTTTGGGTTCTATGGGGTTTTTGGGGTTTCCCATCCCACTTTTGAGGTGCCACGCCCCATTTTTGGGGTGTCTCGCCCCATTTTCGGGTTATTTTTGGGGTGTCCCATCCCGTTTTTGGGGTGTCTGAGCCCGTTTTTGGGGTTTTTGGGGTGTCCCATCCCATTTTCGGGGTGTCTGACCCCGTTTTTCGGGGTGCCCAGGCGGTGAAGCGCTCGCACCGGCGCCTGGGGCTGGCGCAGAAGCTGATGGACCAGGCCAGCCGGGCCATGATCGAGAACTTCAACGCCAAATACGTGTCCCTGCACGTGCGCAAGAGGTGGGACCCCGAAACACCCCCGGGGACCCCAAAACTCCCTGAGGGACCCCAAAAAACCCTCAAGGAACCATCCCAGACCCTCAGGTGACCCCAAAACTCCCCCAAAGATCCCCAAGGAACCTTCAGGTGATCCCAAAACCCGCAAGGAACCTTCAAGGAACCCTCAGGTGACCCCAAAATCCCTCCAGGAACCTTCCCAAACCCTCAGGTCACACCTAAACTCCTCAAGGAACCTTCAAGGAACCCTCAAGTGACCCCAAAACCCCTCCACGAGTCCCCCAAACCCTCAGGTGACCCCAAAAACACCTCAAGGAACCTTCCAGGAACCCTCAGGTCACCCCAAAACCCCTCCCAAACCCTCAGGTCACCCCAAAACTCCCCAAGGAACGTTCAAGAGATCCTCAGGTGACCCCAAAACCCTTCAAGGAACCCTCAAGTGACCCCAAACCACCTCAAGGAACCTTCAAGGAACCTTCAGGACCCCAAAACCCCTCCAGGAACCCTCAGGTGACCCCAAAAGGCTTTAAGAAACATACAGGACCCCAAAACCTTTCCAGAAACCGTTAAGTGACCCCCAAACTCCTCAAGGAATCCTCCCAAACCCTCAGGTGACCCCAAAACCCACAAGGAACCTTCAAGGAACCCTCAGGTGATCACGAAATCCTTCCAGGAACCTTCCCAAACCCTCAGGTGACCCCAAAACTCCTCAAGGAACCCTCAAGTGACTCCTTAACTCCTCCAGGAGTCCCCCAAACCCTCAAGTGACCCCAAAAACACCTCCAGGAACCTTCAAGGAAACCTCAGGTGACTCCAAAACGCTTTAAGAAAACTTCAGGACCCCAAAACCCTTCCAGAAACCGTTAAGTGACCTCAAAACTCCTCAAGGAACCCTCCGAAACCCTCAGGTGACCCCAAAACCCACAAGGAACCTTCAAGGAACCCTCAGGTGACGCCAAAACCCTTCAAGGAACCCTCAAGTGACCCCAAATCCCTCAAAGAACCTTCAAGGAACCCTCAAGTGATCACAAAATCCGTCCAGGAACCTTCCCAAACCCTCAGGTGACCCCAAAACTCCCCCAAAGATCCCCAAGGAACCTTCAGGTGACACCAAAACCCACAAGGAACCTTCAAGGAACCCTCAGGTGACCCCAAAAACCCCTCAAGAAATTCTCAAGAGACCCCAAATCCCTCAAGAAATTTTCATGTGACCCCAGAATCCCTCCAGGAACCTTCCCAAACCCTCAGGTGACCCCAAAACCCTTAAGGAACCTTCAAGGAACCCTCAGGTGACCCCAAAACTCCTCAAGGAACCCTCAGGTGACTCCAAAACTCTTCAAGGGACCTTCAAGAAATTCTTCGGTGACCCCAAAACTCCTCAAGGAACCCTCCCAGACCCTCAGGTGACCCCAAAACTCCCTCAAAGTTCTCCAAGAAACCTTCAGGAGACCCCAAAACCTTCAAGGAACCCACAAGTGACCCCAAAACCCTCAAAGTATCCTCCCAACCCCTCAGGTGACCCCAGAATTCCTCCAGGACCCTTCCCAAACCCTCAGGGGACCCCAAAACTCCTCAAGGAACCCCAAAAATTAATTGGGGACCCCGTTTTTCCTTGGCAGTAACCGGGCAGCGCTGCACCTCTACTCCAACACCCTCAACTTCCAGTGAGTCTGGGGGGGCTGGGGGAAATTTGGGGGGTCAGGGGGAATTTTGGGGGGTCTGGCGGGGTTTTGGGGTCACCTGAGGGGTTGGGGGAGGTTTCTTGAGGGGTCCTGTGGGGGTTTTTGGGGTGCCCCATCCCATTCTTGGGGTGTCCCATCCCATTTTTGGGGTGTTATATGCCATCTTTGGGGTCCCCTGGTTATTTTTTGGGGTGTCCCACCCCATGTTGGGGTTCCCCCGGCTGTTTTTGGGGTGTCACCTGCCAGTTTTGGGGTGTCTGATCCCATTTTTGGGGTGTCCCATCCCATTTTTGGTGTTCCCCCGGGTGTTTTTGGGGTTCCCCTGGGTGTTTTTAGGGTGTCCCATCCCGTTTTTGGGGTGTCCCACACAGTTTTTGGGGTGCTCCATCCCATTTTTGGTGTTCCCCTGGGTATTTTTGGGGTTCTGCCGGCTGGTTTGGGGGTTCCCCCGGCTGTTTTTGGGGTGTCCCATCCCATTTTTGGGGTGTCCCATCCCATTTTTGGGGTTTTCCCGGCTGTTTTTGGGGTTCCCCTGGCTGTTTTTGGGGTGTCCTGTCCTGATTTTTGGGCGTCCCATCCCATTTATTGGGGTATTTTGGGGTATCCCATCCCATTTTTGGGGTGTCCCACCCCATGTTTGGGTTTCCCCAGCTGTTTTTGGGGTTCCCCTAGATGTTTTTGGGGTGTCCCATCCTATTTTTGGGGTTCCCCCGGCTGTTTTTGGGGTTCCCCTGGGTGTTTTTGGGGTGTCCCTGTCAATTTTTGGATTCCCCTGGGTGTTTTTAGGGTGTCCCATCCCATTTTTGGGGTTCCCCCGGGTATTTTTGGTGTTCCCCCCCGGGTGTTTTTGGGATCCCCCGGGTGTTTTTGGATTCCCCTGGGTGTTTTTAGGGTGTCCCATCCCATTTTTGGGGTGTCCCATCCCATTTTTGGTGTTCCCCCCGGCTGTTTTTGGGATCCCCCGGGTGTTTTTGGATTCCCCTGGGTGTTTTTAGGGTGTCCCATCCCATTTTTGGGGTTCCCCCGGCTGTTTTTGGGATCCCCCGGGTGTTTTTGGTGTTCCCCCCGGGTGTTTTTGGGATCCCCCGGGTGTTTTTGGACTCCCCTGGGTGTTTTTAGGGTGTCCCATCCCATTTTTGGGGTTCCCCTGGCTGTTTTTGGGATCCCCCGGGTGTTTTTGGGATCCCCCGGGTGTTTTTGGGGTTCCCCCGTGTGTGACCCCCCCAAATTCCCCCCAGGATCAGCGAGGTGGAGCCCAAGTACTACGCGGACGGCGAGGACGCGTACGCCATGAAACGGGACCTGAGCCAGATGGCAGAGGAGGTGCAGCCCCCCAAAAACCTGGGCACCCCAAAAAAACCATCCCCATCCTCACCTGGGACCCCCCAAAAACCTGGGCACCCCAAAAAAAACCATCTCCATACTCACCTGGGACCCCCCAAAAACCTGGGCACCCCAAAAAACCATCCCCATCCTCACCTGGGACCCCCCAAAAACCTGGGAACCCCAAAAAAAACCATCTCCATACTCACCTGGGCACCCCAAAAACCTGGGCACCCCAAAAAAAACCATCTCCATACTCACCTGGGCACCCCAAAAACCTGGGCACCCCAAAAAACCATCCCCATCCTCACCTGGGACCCCCCCAAAAAATGTCCCTAAACTGGGAACCCCCCCAAAAAAATCCTCATTAACCCCCTGGGACCCCAAAAAACTCACCCTGGGACCCCCAAAATCCTCTCCAACCCCATCCTGGAACCCCAAAAACTCCTCATGAACCCCTTGGGACCCCCCAAAAAATCCCCCTCTCCACCTGGGAACCCCAAAAAATCTCCTCATTCCCATCCTGGGAACCCCAAAATTCTCTTTCCAACCCTGGGAACCTCAAAAAACCTCTCCAACCTCTCCTGGGAACCCCAAAATCCTCTCCAACCCCTTCTGGGACCCCCCCAAAACCTCCCCATCCCTGGGAACCCCAAAAAATTTCCTCATGAACCCCCTGGGACCCCCAAAAATCCTCCTCACCCCTCCTGGAGGAGCTTCCTGGGACCCCCCAAACCCCTCTCCATCCTCCTGGGACCCCCCCAAAACCCTCCCTCCTCCTTTGGGACCCCCCAAAAAAATCCACATTCCCACCTGGGAACCCCAAAACCCTCCTGAGGGGCTCCCACTCACCCTGAGACCCCCAAAAATCTCCCCAAATCCCACCCTGGGACCCCCAAAAATCCTCCTGGGGGAGCTTCTACCCACCCCAAGACCCCCAAAAACCTCCCCATAACCCCTGGGACCCCCAAAATCCCTCCTGGGGGGATTCCAGGGACCCCAAAAACCCCTCAACTCACTCTGGGACCCCGAAAAACCTCCCCATTTCACCTGGGACCCCCAAAACCCCTCCCCATTTCACCTGGGACCCCCCAAAATCCCCCTGGGACCCCCAAATCCCCTCTCTATCCACCCTGGGACCCCCAAAACCCCTCTCCACCCTCCTGGGATCCCCAAAATCCCCCCTGGGACCCCCCAAACCCCCTCCCCATTTCACCTGGGACCCCCCAAAACCCCCCCTGGGACCCCCCCAAACCCCCTCCCCATTTCACCTGGGACCCCCCAAAATCCCCCTGGGACCCCCAAAATCCCTCCTGGGACCCCCAAACCTCCTCCCCATTTCCCCTGGGACCCCCAAACCCCCCCTGGGACCCCCAAACCCCCTCTCCATCCACCCTGGGATCCCCAAAATCCCTGCTGGGACCCTCAAACCCCCTCCCCATTTCACCTGGGACCCCCAAACCCCCTCCCTGTTTCACCTGGGACCCCCAAACCCCCTCCCTGTTTCACCCTGGGACCCCCCAGACCCCCCCTGGGACCCCCAAAACCCCTCCCCATTTCACCTGGGACCCCCAAACCCCCTCCCCATTTTACTCTGGGACCCCCAAACCCCCTCCCCATTATCCCCTCCCTGTTTCCCCCCCAGCTGAGGAAGCAGCTGGAGCAGAAGGAGCGGGGGGCGCCCCCCGGCCCCCACGGAGCCCCCCCGGGCTGGGGACGGGCTCTGCGGCTCGGGGGGACCCCCACGACCCCCCCGACGCCGGGGGGACCCCCCCAGAGCCACCAGGAGGACGGGGGGGGGGACAGCAAGGACCTGAGCGAGGTCAGCGAGACCACCGAGAGCACGGACGTGAAGGACAGCTCGGAGGCGTCGGACTCGGCCTCGTAGGGACCCCCAAAAAATCAGCGGGGGCGCCCCCCAAAAATCAATGGGGGCACCCCAAAAAATACCTGGGAGCCTCCGGAAAAAAATCTCTGGGAGTTTGCCCAAAAAATCCCCAGGAGACCCCCAAAAATCCCTGGGAGGTGCCACAAAAAAATCTCTGGGACCCCTGGGAACCACCCCAAAATCTCCAGGAGCCCCCCCAAAAAATCCCCAGGAGCCCCCCCCCCCCCAAAAAATCTCTGGGACCCCCCCCCACCAAAAAAATGTCTGGGACCCCCCGGGAGCCCCCTCAAAAATCCCCTGGGGGACACCGCTAAGAAGTCTCTGGGACCCCTCCCCAAAAAAATCTTTGGGGGCCTCCCCCATAATCTCTGGGGAGTCCCCCCAAAAAATCTCTGGGACCCCCAGGAGCCCCCCCCAAAAATCCCTGGGAGCCCCCTGCAAAAAATCTCTGGGATTTTTCCCCAAAAAATCCCCAGGAGCCCCCCCAGAAAAATCTCTGGGACCCCCAGGAGCCCCCCCAAAAACTCTCATGGGACCCCCAGGAGCTCCCCCAAAAATCCCTGGGAGCCCCCCCACAATGTCTGGGCCCCCCGGGAGCCCCCCGAAACCCCCTCGGTGCTGAGGGGGCATTAAAGCCCCTCCGTCCCCAGGCTCGGCTCTGTTTTTGGGGGGGCTCAGGGAATTTTGGGGGTTCGCGACCCCTCCTCAAAGGGTTAAAGAGGGGTGGGCGGGGCTTGGGTTGGCCACGCCCCATAGGAATGGGTGTTGTGATTGGGGGCGTGGTTTGTGCAGATTTGCCGCCCGCTGATTGGTGGAGACGCACGGTTGTGGCGCCCCCTGGCGGGAGGGCGGGGAGGGGCAGGCGGAGAACGGGACCGGGACAGCGACAGCGGGAACGGGGCCAGGAACGGGACCGGGACTGCGACAGTGGGAACGGGAACGGAGCGAGGCTGGGGAAACAGGAACAGAACCGGAACCGGGACAGCGACAGCAGGAACGGGACTGGAGTGAGGCTGGGGCACCGGGACCTGGACCGCGACCTGGATCAGAGCCAGGCTCGGACAACGGCAACGGGAACTAGACCGGAGCGAGGCTGGGGCAACGGGAACGGGAGCGGGATCGGAGCCAGGCTGGGACAGCGGGAACGGGGCCAGGAACGGGATTGGGACCGGAAACGGGATGGGATGGGAGCCAGGCTGGGGCAACGGGAATGGAACCGGGAACGGGAACTGGGAACTGAAATGGAACCGGCACAGCGACAGAGGGAATGGGACCGGAGCGAGGCTGGGGCTGCGGGAACGCGACCGGAAACTGGATTGGGAACGGGATCGGGATAGCGGGAACATGGCCAGGAACGGGAACGGAACCGGGACCAGGACCGAAGAAAGGCTGGGACAGCGGGAATGGGAACAGGACCGGAAACGGGACCGGGATTGGGACCAGGACCAGAGCCGGGCTGGGGCAACGGGACTGGGACCGGGACTGGAACCGGGACCGGAGCCAGGCTGGGACACCGGGAACGGGATCGGAAAGAAGGCTGGGGTAGCAGGAACGGGATGGAAACGGGGGGGAAGCACCGGGACCGGGATAGAAATGAGGAGGGAAACCGGGACCGAGGCGATGGAGGCACCGGGAACGGGATGGAAACCGGGAAAGCACCGGAACCGGTGGGGAAGGGGGGGAAAATTCCACCACAAATTGTGGGAAATACCGGGAATGGAGGAGGAGGAGGAAGAGGAGAAAGAGGAAGAGGAGGAGGAGGAGAAAGAGGAGGAGGAAGAGGAGAAAGAGGAAGAGGAGGAGGAGGAGAAAGAGGAGGAGGAGGAGGAGGAGGAAGAGGAGAAAGAGGAGAAAGAGGAAGAAGAGGAAGAGGAAGAAGAGGAGGAAGAGGAGGAGGAAGAAGAGGAAGAAGAGGAGAAAGAGGAAGAGGAGGAGGAGGAAGAGGAGAAAGAAGAAGAAGAGGAGGAAGAGGAGGAGAAAGAGGAGGAGGAAGAAGAGGAGGAGGAGGAGAAAGAGGAAGAGGAAGAAGAGAAGGAAGAGGAGGAGAAAAATCCCCCTAAAAACCCCCCCAAAACTCCCTTGTGATTCAAGGTAAAATCCCCGTAATCAATCTGTTAAAAACTTTCTCTTTATTATAATATAATTCTTCGATATAAAAAGCAAATTTTACAAGTTTTGAACCCAAAATGTACAAAAACAAAAAAAAAACCCCAAACAATCAGGAAATGAGGAAATGTTTGTGTTCGTCCCCTTGCTGTGTGAGGGGGGGATTGAGGGGCTGATGGAGATTTAGGACCCCCCAAAAAATGGGGAGGGGGATGTGAAAAGGCCTTCAAACACCCTGAGCTGTTTTGGGGGACCCCAGCCCCTCGTTACCCGCAATTCCGGGGGGTTGGGGATGTGCAGCACCCCCAAATCCCCCTCCCCAAATTAAATTTTGGGGTCTCTCTGTCCCATTGGGGGCTCCTCTGTCGGGATCTCTTCAACGCCACTGCCTGGAAAAAAAAAGGGGAAAAAAGGGAAAATTGGGGGGCACAAAATGAGCTCTGACCCCCCCCAGTTTACTCAGGGGAGGAATTTTGGGGTCCCCCCCCCTAATTTTGGGGGGGAAAATTGGGGGGTTCTCACCATCCCCATCATCGGGGATCTCCTGCACATCCTCGTCGTCGTCCAGGATCACCACGCAGTCCTCGCCGCTCTCGCTGGGAAATTAAAAATTTTTGTTAATTGGGAGGTGAAAATTAAAAATTTTCATTCATGAGAGGGTTAAAAATTAAAATTTTTATTTGTTGGGGGGTGAAAATTGAAAATTTTTGTTAATTGGGAAAGTGAAAATTAAAAATTTTTATTAATTGGGGGGTGAAAAATGAAAATTTTCGTTCATGGGGAGTGACAATTTTTGTTCATTGGGGTGAAAGCTGAAAATTTTCATTTATTGGGGTGAAAATAGAAAATTTTTATTAATTGGGAGGTGAAAATTAGAAATTTTTATTAATTGGGGAAGTGAAAATTGAAAATTTTTGTTCGTTTGAGGGTGAAAATTGAAAATTTTTGTTGATGGGGTGAAAATTGAAAATCTTTATTTATGGAAAACTGAAAATTTTTGTTCATGGGAAGGTGAAAATTGAAAATTTTCGTTTATTGGGAGTGAATTGAAAATTTTTATTAATTGAGAAGGTGAAAATTGAAATTTTTTGTTCGTGGGAGTGAAAATTTTTGTTGATGGGGTAAAAATAGAAAATT